ATAAAACCCCTATGCCCACTGATCACTTGAGTTTTCCTTAGAGTCTTCTGCATCTTTTTCGGTTTAACCACTTCATTTCTTTGTCCTCACTTTTCTCTCCAGCTCTCTAACAGCTGATGCATGCCTGAGGATATGGCAACTTGAGGTTCTCTCATTGCTCATCCAAAACAGCTTTCAGTTTTAAGTCAAATGAAGTTATTACTAAAAGAAGACAAACACACAGAACACCCTCTCCTTCTTTTCTGTCCAAGAACTCAGCACTATGAAAATTGTAATAAAGAAGTGAGATAGTAATGGTGGTGGTGTAATGTGCTGGTGCTATGAACTTTTCCTGAATGCAGTGGAAAATTTTGTTTTCTGAATTTATTTTTTTTTTAACTTAAAAATATCAGTATTTCAGTGTTAACTTGATGTGTGGTCAACTTTAAAAGAATAGAAAAGTATTCAATTAGATGTGACTGACAAAGAATTTAGTTCTGGGTTATTTTTGTGGATGTGTTTTAAAATGTGAGTTTAAAAGGTCCCTGAATACAGCCAGAATACAGCAGTTATAAAAGAGGACTGCATCTCTAACTTTCATTTCATGCCTTTAGTGAAAGGATTGATCCAATCACTCCCTCTCTCTCTCTCCTTGATTCCCTCCCTTTCCTTCTTCTCCTTCTCTTACTCTTGCCTTTCTCTCTTTTTCCTCTGTGTTCTCCTTTCCCTCCCTCCCTCTGCATGTCCTCCAAACCATTTCTGACTGCCCTTTCTTATTTGTGGTGAGAGAATATAACCAGGTATTGGCTCTACAAGCTGCACTTCTTGGGCCATCTGCACTCCACAATGTGAAGCACAGTTTCTGATATCTTTTTATGATGTCTTATATGAGAGGGAGGATCTCCATAACAAAGGCACCAGCCCCAAATAGGTGAACTTAAATGTTTCAGGCCAATCAAAGGAAAAGTCCCCTTAGTAGTTAGATTTGTCATTGGTTCCAAATGCTTGCTTGTTTAAACAGAGAAGGAAAAGTGAAGAAAATTTTTCAACTAGTATATAGTGCATATGGTGCACAGCCAGTCCTGAGGTTGGGCTGGAAGACAAGTTTTCTGTTCTTGCTCCCTATTTTCCTTCTGGGGCAGCTTCTCTGATCTGCTTTGTGCTTCCCTGGCAGCAGTGGGTGCCTGGCCCATCCAGGTTCCCCCTGGTCTGTTCTGGACTGCTGCTGTGGTGCTTGACTAGAGGGTCATTTGGGTAATTTGGGGGGCTTTCTAGGTAGACACCTCTGTTACCCACTGGAAGGGCATGTGGATGTCTTGAGTTGTTTACTAGAGTAATGATGATTTGTGTGGAATCCAGGCTTCACTGTGTACAACTTGCTCAGGGGACTTTAGGCATGACAAATTCTTCTGCCTCCTCTGTTTTTTGTGGTTATGGCCAGGTCAGCCAGTTTTAGTGACGTGCCTTGCCTATAAACAAAGCCTGTACTAGTGAGTGATTTTCTTTTCTGCTGCTTGTTGTCTTTCTCACCACCAATGCAAGAACTCCCTGCCTCTGCTAATGCTGATGTTATTTATTCATTCCCTAACAAAAGTGACACCATAACATCTCTTTACCAGAAAGATTTTTGTTAAAAAGAGTCACAGAGTATTTAGTACCATGTGTGTGGCAGACAATACTTCTTGTTTCCTTTTTATTTAAGATATTCATTTGACTGCTCCTCCATTGGTTTTGTTTTTCCTCCTGTGAGAAATAAAACTTTATTTGTGAAAAAGAAGATGGATTCTGTGCCATGAAACAAGAGAAAATTCCAAGGGAGGCTTTTGTAATTTGCTGATTTAAAAACTGACTAATTTTAAAGCTGATCACATGCAACAGAGCACACTGACCTCTAAAGCACTTGTATGGTCCAGCTTAGGTGATAAAAATTCTTGATCTCCTAAACTGTAACTTTTTAAGAGCCATGTTCTCCAAAAGTGAAAATGGATAATAAAAAAGCAGGTCCTGTTGCTTAGCTGATGACTGGGTGTGAATAGAAAGTGTTTGCAGATTTTTCTCCAGAAAAGCCTGGAAGGGGGTGCTGTGTATTTGTCAGATGCCTTTTAATTTAACTGCTGAGGAGTGTGAACTTGCAGAGAGAGCCAGGGATGCTGAGACAGAAAGGATGGAAAATGCAGACAGTGAAGGACATCTCAGGGCTTCCAAGAGTAATATAAAAAGGTACTGGAAACCTTAAGAGAAGTTACTCTGGAAGAAGAAGGATTTTAAAGGAAATTGTGATCTCTCTATAACCTTTCTAAGAGCTGGAATTATAATTCCAAAATTATTAAAATTTCAGGTGGCAAGAAAAGCAGTAATTTTATATACAGACTATGAAACTGAGGGCAAAGAGAAAAGGAGCGAGCATAAGAACACTTTAAATTATAAGTGGAAAGTTTAATAAAACCCAAAGATATCTAAGCATAAATTATTTTTTTTTTTGTGTTAATCCTATTCTCTTTCTTATTTGCATTTAAATTGCACTGATTGAATGTGAGATGCTTTAAAAATTGGCATAGTTGGGCCGGGGTAGGTGTTGCTATCTGAATTTTAATGTCTTGTTTAGGCTTGAAAGAAACCCTCTTAACTGGGCAGAGACAAGCATTTTTGAGTTTTATTAAATAGATAATTTTTCTGGTTTCAAACATGAATTTAATTTGTATTCATGTTTGTTGTCGAAATAGCTCAACTTTGTACCTAGTGTTGCTTATTACTGATTTAATTCTAATACACTGCTTGGTATAAATGTAAAAGTTACCATTCCCCAGAAGTGTGTCAAACTTGGGAAGCAAAAAGGAAATCACAGGATTTTTAATGTTATTCCGCAAATTAGTAGTTTTGTACATGCAGTGGGAGAGGTGGCAATTTCAGAGGAACTTGACTGAAGGGAAGAGATGTTTGAAGTTTGGTGGGAGTATGGGGTGGGAAGATAGGCAGGATATGTTTTTTGGACAAAAAAGAAAGATGGGAAGTAAATGAGTTTATTTAAAGGTTGCTGAGGCTGATACACTAATAGAACATAAACTGAGTAGGAATATGGTTAAAAAACTCTATCAAATATTTACATTTTTGATGTTGATGTTCAGGTAGTGTGTAGTGTTAAGATGACAATGGTCATAGAAATCAGGTTGTGGTGGATCTGAATTTAAAAGTACATGCATTGCTTAAGGATAATTTAGGAAGAACCTTTGTCCTTTTTTTTGGTATTAATTTTCTCTAGTTGTTGTTCTTTCAGTTTCCTGGTTTGTTTGTTTTTTAAATTTGCTAATGTTCTACTTTTAAAGTTGTTTTAATTATAAATGGTAGTCTACAAGCAAGTCATGACATGTACTGCTGTTTTTCTTCCTGAAGATATTTCTGCTATAGAGGCTCATAGCTGTTGTGGATGTCAAAGCCTTCAGGCATGTTTCTGGGAATGATGATATGAATTTTATAACCCCTAGACATCAGTTACTTCAGATTGACGGGGGTACTTTTAATGCCAAAATCTGGTAAAATCTCATTAGGTAATTCTTTCATTTGTGTTTTTGTAGACTTTAAATGCTTTTTCTGAGGAGGCTTGTTTAGATGAGCTGGACTGTTCTCAGCTTTTTTATTAATTTCTAGAGGCTGTTTATGTGTTGCTTTGCTGACTGTAGACTTGAAGCTCTATTTGTGAAATTAGCCTGTTCGAATATCAGTGCACTATTCAATTACAAAACTTGATATAAAAATATTCAAGCAAGCCTACTCCTTTAGCATCTTCTTGTAAATATGAAATGAGAACAGACTTTATTAAGTGTCTTTGTTTTTTAAAGATAGATAGATAGATAGATAGATAGATAGATAGATAGATAGATAGACATCTAATTTGATTATAAGGTTTTTCAAAGCTGTATCACTAAGTCCAAAGTCAATTTTTGGTAAAAGTCGCAGATTCTTTGTTTAATATGATTCAATATGATGGGAAAAATTGTATTGTTAAGCAGTGCCTTGTAAAATAACTAAAAGCTGTTGTAAGGAAATCATAGAATAGAATGATTTAGGTTGGAAGGGACTTAAAACTCACCTAGTTCCAACATGCACCTTGCCCTGAGCAGGGACATCTCCAAATAGATCAGATTGCTCAGAGTTGCATCAAACTTGACTTCAAATGTTTCTGAGGATGGAGCATCTACCACCTCTCTGGGCAACCTGTGCCAGTGTTTCACTATCCTTATTGTAAAAAACTTCTTCCTTATATCTGCCCTCTTTTGTCTTAAAACCATTACCCCTTATCCTACTGCAACAAGCTCTACTAAAAAGTCTTTCCCCAGCTTTTTTCCAAGCCCTCTTTAGACACTGAAAGGCTTCAATAAAGTCTCTGAAATCTCCTGTAGGGACATAAAAGCACACCAGTGTAATCCTGACTGTTCAGATATGGGAGTAGAAAGAGCTTATCCTTTTACTCAGTACTAGAGTTATTATTCCCAGCTCATCTGACTTGACTGTTCAGCTTGGTGCCTTTAAAGAGAACTTCACATTGACTCTGGCACGGAGGAAGACTTTGTGAAGGAGGCTTACTTCACCCGTGTGAGTTTGATTCCCTGTCAGAGAGATTTTACAGAAATAACTGCATTTCATTCTACATACAAAGATGTAACCTTGTTTCATTGCAGCCAAATGATGGAGGTGTGACTGAAAAGCAAATTAATTACCTGCTAACTACTGAATGGTACCTTGTGCACAAGCAGAAGGTGTTACCTCATACCATTAATGCATCATGTAATAAATCTGACAGTTATGGTTTTTTGACTTATCTTTCCCTGCAGTGTCCATAGAAGTGTTTCTGACTTACAACAGATGGTCAGAGCACAGCTTTGAAATTTATCTGGAGATGAAGCCCTGTTGATTCCATTAAAAGTGAAGAATTTTCATGCAGATGGAGACAAAGAGGGATTTATTATTACAATTCTGATGATGAGGTATTTCATACAATGCCTTCCTTTCCTTTTTGCTTGCAGGTGATGTGCCTTCAGGATTTTTTTGGCGATGATGACATTTTTATTGCATGTGGACCAGAAAAGTTCCGTTACCAGGATGATTTCTTGCTGGATGAAAGCGGTAAGATGTATTTTTTAAATGTTTAGAATGAGAGTAAAGGGCAGATTTCCATATCATGCTAACTAAATCAAGGCAGTATCACCTGGATTGATTTCAGAAATAGAAGAAATATTTTAATTAAAAATAAGAGAATTGAAAGCAACAATAGAGCTCTCTGCCTATTGCAGCTTAAAACTTGATTTCATCCTGAATTCCCACATGTTGTATGACAAGTCGTGTTTGGTGGAATTCCTTTCTTTGTAAAGTCCTTCATGTTGTGGCTTTAAATTTATTCTGTTTCTTTATCACAATTTCTCAGGCTCCCAGTACCTACCATTGAGATTTAGTTAATGATTCACAGGAAATGTGATAAAGAAAGATAGGTACAATTCTATATAGAAGATAAATGTAATCAGCAAATGCAGACAAAGTCATCTGAGAAAATTCAGGGAGTTCGCTGTTTTTCAGAGACTGATTAGTACAATAATGAAATCAATGTATGTAATCCTCTAAGGAAAATACATGTTTTGTTTCTGAATACCTTTATTCTTACAAAGAATATTCCTGACTTGGGAATCACAGTTGCAAGGAAAAAGAAGAAAAAGCTAACTATAGAGTTTGTGCATTTAAACAAACAAACAAAGCTGCTAACAACATTGAATTTATTACTGTGTAGAACAAGACACAGCATCAGTTTTATTGCTCCTACACTCTTTCTCATGGTATCTTTGTAGTCCATTGGAATCAAGGTATCTCATGCTTTTTCAAACCATCAAAGGTCTGACAGAACACTTGGCTGAAGAGTCAGGCAGAGAAGACTTTGTTAGAGCAGCAAGCACTTCACAGTCATTATGTGTGTATCTGTGTAGCTTCACCACTTCATCATGGTTTTTGATGCAATTACACTCTCGCTGTTCAAGATGGTGTAATTGTATTTTTCTGACTAAGCTGTGAAGCTGGAGGGCTTCTTGGTTTACCCAGATCCAGACAAACGCTTCATTAGCTTGTGTAAGAGCAGAAGGCAGCAACTTGTGCAGACTTGGCTCTGTGAGTTGAAGGATGACTCTGAAAAAAGAGGTGTCTTCTAGGCACAGGAATGCACAGGAATGACCTTTTGTGTCAGGCACAGACAGAAGCAAGAACACCTTCTGCATTCCTCTAGAGCGTTTCCTTATAATGTGGAAATAAAAATAAAAATAGAGCACCACATCTGCTCTTTGCAGTAACAAAATTGCTGTAGTTATCTCTAAGGCAAAATGTATTAATGGTGAAAAAGTAGGTTTAGCCATGTTTAGGATGGGAATTGGGTGAGGGGGACATTTGACCAGCAAAGAAGTTTCCCAGATGGCTTTGTGCTCAGAATGGAGGTCCTTGCCTTTAAGGAGAGGAGGCCTGGATAGCTGACTGTGTAGTTTGGATTCACTTGTTTCTCTCATCTGAAAGATGACATTGGTGGCAGCCCAGTGTCTCCTCACAGTGAACCTTGTGGCAGTTTTTCCAGCACAGATGCAAGAAATGCTGACAGAAGATTTATCTAAGTCCCTTTTGGAAGTATGTAGCTGTTTTTTCATGTAGTGCCAAAGTACAGACATAACCTGTCTGACATAACCTTTGCCTGACATATCAACATCTTTTTGAGTAAGCAATATCTTTGAAGCTTTGGTGCTTAAAACCATTTTTTTACTGATCTTAAAAGAGAAATCCTTAAAATCTATGCTGAAAACTCAACTTTAGCTATTTGTTGTAGTGTTCGCTTTTTTATCAGGTAAAGATTCAGTAAACATTGACTGTTTTTTACTGCACGAGTGAAGAAAGGGGAAAAAATCAGATTTCAGACTATGTCTAATTCCTTTGAGAAGTGCATGTCCACTTTGCTCTCTCTTTTTCAGGAGATTTGGTATCAGAGATCTTTAGGCTGCTTGCCAATAATAGCTGATGTACCAACCGATATGCATCTAGTCAGCCTTCTCTGAGCATGAGCTGGAGTTGGAGAGAAAATAAGTTTTAAAAATGGAGCTTTTAACTTGTTTTGATTGGCAAATGAAGTTTGTGTGATCACAGTGTGTGTCTGTGCATTCCTCATAATTAAAGAACATTACAGTTATTAGGAAGTGCTGTCCAAGTGTGCAGGGCTTGTAAAGCCTGTCTCTGCTTCCCTGAAAAGCATCTTGAAGCAACACTCTGCTGGTTTGGTACTATATCCCTCCAGTATTGTTCAACCAGATGTTGAGAATAGCAGTTAAGGTGTTGCAGAAGGAGAAATAAAGAAAAACAAAATTTGAAGGTGGGAAAGAATAGAGAGAAGAAATACATAAATAATCAGGGTTCTGGGCTCTTGGGAATTACTTCTCAGGGAGGAGGAAGAATGCCATTGATTTGTGGTCTGGGTTCAGAACTCCTGATACTAGAGGTGAGCAAGAGGCAAAGCTGGGGGTTGAGAAGCCAGTCACCTGTCCTGGGATTCATTGTAGCTAACACTAGGTACTGCATGTAGGTAGCTCCCTGGGACTGAGCCCTTCCTGGTAGGCATCTTTCCCAGTGAGTAAAACTCAGATTTATTGACAAAGCAGCTGGTAGATGTTTGGTTGGCTCAGCTGAAAGTGGATGTTTCGAACAGCTCCTATGAATTGTGCTCCAGAAATTCTGGTTTGCTTATCTGAAGACGTCTATATGCCTGATGTAGCTGCTCCTGTCTACACTTCATGTTTTTAAAGTTGCTTAAAAAGCTTTTAGGATGAGATTAATTCCACCCTATCAGAAAAGAAAAGTCTAAAATCTCATCAGTTTGCGTTATTTCTAGTTGTCTTTGTTTTTCCTGCTCGCATGGCTTGCTCTTGCCTTGGATAGCACTTTCTAAAAGCCATAGGATCAGAAATTTAGAAAAGCCAGTCTAGAAGTCAGTGAATCAATCTCCCCATCTAAGTGTGGCATTAACATTCTACATTTGACTTCTGGTATACTTGTCTAACAAGCCCCTTTAAAGCCTGTAATGAGGAAGAATCTGTATCCTCCCAAGACATTCTGTGCCAGTGGTAAACTCTTTTTACTGTTTTTCAGCTATCTTCCCCAGATTGCCTTGCTATAAATGAAATCCATTACTACATTTCTTATCTGCTTTGACCATGGGAAACAGATGATTCCTCTTGGTTTGAAAAAAATCTGTGAGCTCATCAATTTTCTTTCCTTTAGGCTGAACAATTAGGTCAGCTTTGCTTTGACTTCAGGCTCAAACCTGCCCTTGAATGAGGGTTTGTGTTCTTTCTTTATATCCTCTCCCTTCTCTGCTTTATATCTTTTGGGAAGAGGCATTGCATATCCCCTTGGCAATCAGCTAAGAAAAGTCACTTAATTAGGGATCCATCAAAGAGAAATAAAACAAGCAGTCCTCACTATGCATTGCAGTTTCTTCCCTGCCTGGATGTGCAGATGGTTTTCATGCTAAACACACTGTTTATTGCATGAAATGCAGAAACAATAGGCACCATCCCCATCATAATTCCTAGGAATCATCTCCATATCTGACATGATCAATAGATACGATAGCCACACACGGTTTCATCATGAGGGCTGTAGATGGGACATAAGGGTGCATGTGAGTGACCATAAAATTAAGAAGTAAATACTCCTTGTTTGTCAAGCATCAGCGGTGCTGCTGTTTTCATAGAAAGTTTTTATGGGATATGTAAGCACAAAAGAATTACATTAATGAAGCACACATTACAGCAGCTTGTAAGAAGAAAATTTCCTCAGTGTAGAGTATGGCAATGACTGCTTCAGGCATTGTTAGCTTGCAGTTTTGGAAACTCTCCCAGAAATCCCAGGTTTGCGTTAACTGATGGTTGTTCAGTTTTCAAAGAAGAGGTCAGAGGATGCCTTTCAATAGCCCTTAGCTCTGTGTTTGCAAAGATTAAGGTTTAAGGGCCGTTCTCACAAAAATATTTGCAATCAGCTATTATTTAGGCACCTACATAGGATTTTGCAATGCGAATAACTCATGAGATTTGCCCTAATTCAGAACATCTCCTTTGCTTATACAGATATTTATTTTCAGCACTGTAAAATAAGAGAGTTTTGAGGCTGGCAGTATCATCGGACTTCATTTTTTAAAAATGATATTATTTTTTGTGTTCTGTTAATGTTTTCTGAGTGCTTTGGAACCTTGAGAGTTTCCCAAGGGGAATATGGAAGACTTCATCACATACTGAGGCGCATCATGTATGAAAGCTGCAATCTCAGCTGGCCAAAGCCAGTGTCTGCCTCCAAGCAGAGTGTAACCAATATAGAATGTCTGGATGTGAAAACAACTGCAGATTGCTTGTCAAAAGCACATATTACTGTTATGGAAACAATGAGGAGAATGATTCTGTTCTAGGGGAAAATTAAGATTGGAACTTTGAAACCTAATTTCACTTTGATTTTGCTGGCTTGTGTTAGCGCTCGGCTCAGCATCTCTGTGCCAGCAGTGTTACTGCTTCATCTTGCCAGCAGCAGACAGCTTGCCAGGAAAATCTGAGTCCTGTGGTGTCTGCACACACGTGTGTGTGTGTGCACAGAGGCATGCACACGCATCTGATCCAGTAACTGCGGTTAAGGTCAGGGGTATCGTGTTTATCCCTGGTAATAGCTGTCATGTTTCTGTAACCTTCATTAATCTGCCCTTCTTAAAAGAGACAGGAAGGGGAAATCAGTTATGGTCCTCATCTACCCTGATTTATAGGACAGAGACTGATGTGTTAAGCAGCTTTTGGCTGGACTTAGGAGTGGAGAGCATGCTGGCTGACTTACTCTGCCCTCATCAAAAACTCATGCTTTGGCAATTGGAAAGTAATGGTGGGTTCTGGGGACTTCGAGATACAACTTTGCTTTCAACAGAGGCATAAATATAAAGTGTTCCACTGCAGTGTGATATTTTCAAATGTCAACAACTGCTGGGCCTTGGAAACAGATATTCTGTGTACGAGGAAGAAACAAGCTAGGGCAGGAGAGGCCAGGCTCTGACTGAATGTACCGCTTGGACTAAT